GCTTTTTTTAAGTTTTCTACCTTATGATGAGAAACTTAACTTTCAGCCATGTATGTCTTAGATCAGTATTTTAGAAAGAAAAGATTATAGTCACCTTTTTTGGACTTCTTATATGGGAATTATTATAAAATTTATTTTTTCTGAATAAAATGAGGAGGAACTCTTTATAAGGTATTTCTTCCACCTTCTTAGCGTACCTTCGTGGTATAGTGGTCAACATGCTGGGGGCGTATTCCAGATGTCCGTGGTTCGATTCCCAGTGAAGGCGTTGCTCCTTTTTCATCATTTCAGCTTTAAAAAAATACCTAATGTCTCTACAGTGGCCCCCGAACAAAAAGGGTAGTAGATGATCATTCTCTCCACCCAGAGTTTGGCGATTGCGTCTCCTAAACCCCAGTCGACCTTTAAAAGGGCGAGTATGTTAGGTATTTCACCGCCTTCTTAGCGTGCCTTCGTGGTGTAGTGGTCTGCACGCTGGACGCGTATTCCGGAGGTCCGTGGTTCAATTCCTGGCGATAGCGTTGCTCATTTTTCACTTCTCTTGCTTCCAAAAAAATACCTAATGTTTCTACAACTTCACATAAGTTTTTTTTTTTTTTTTTTCAGAGGGGGAATTATTTTTAGCAGTTGAATGCAAAAATAAGCATCTGTGACACTGTTAAGCAAAAGTCTATTACTGCAATACATTTATATGCTTGTATTATAGCATATTTACGTACCTTTTCGCACAAGTATGATCTTCATTTGGTTATTAGCCCAAAGGGTCAATTTGCACAGAAGGGCTACTAATTTCGTTTTGGCATTTTGCGTTGGTTCACTATAAAAGCCTGAATCACTTTCAAAACTGTTACCACCAAATATTAGACATCTGCATTATATTTAAAGAAATTAAATAGTGAAAATTCTGCATGAATGGATGTATGATTCTCTCATTATGAAAAAGCAACGGCACCTAGAGACATCAAATTTTGAATAATGTACTCTTCCACTCGAATATGGGCATCTGGAAGCCCAAATATTTTATAAAACTTTAAGAAATATTTTATTAACAAAACTGAACGATTTTGAAGTTATCAATGGCAACACGGTACGGGAAGAAAAATAACTTTATCTCCAGCGCGCGAGACTGTATCAGAAATTGTAAAGCTATGCTCTTTTTAAATATTTTCTGATAATGCTTGTTGAATTGAGTTTCATGTAGTTTAAGTGACAAGAACATGATATTTAATAAATAATAGTAACAAACTCTCGCTAAAAAAATGTCTCTTTGGGCGCAACATAAAATCTGAATGCTTTGAGATTTTTCTTTATTATTTTTTTTTCTCTTAAATCTTACGAGCAATTATATTGCGCAGGTATTTCACGTAATTATATTAGGAGCAATTATATTTACAATTATATTGTAAATCTTACGAGCAATTATATTGCGCAGGTATTTCTTGCAATTATATTGCGCACGTCACGAAGAATATTTCACGTTTCATTAATTTTGCATTTAATACACTGAGGCTGTTTATTTTCATTATTAAATAACTAACTTCATTATAAATTACTAATTGATGAAGCAGTAAAAACGTTGATTTGTAGAAAATATTGCAGTTAAAGATTCAATTTACTTTTTTTAAAAACTAGAAAGCAGACATTAGTGTTTTTAATACTTGAAGAACATATCAAGGTCACTCGAAGTAGGAAGTGCCGTTAGTTCAAGTATCATGATGTCTGTTACCCGCGGGTCGGACAGTCTATGAGTAGGAAGTACTTTAGCATACGCGGCATACATTTTAATTTGAGTCTTTTAAATTTACCTCTCATATATATGTAACATAGAAACATGATTTTAACTTTAGACACTTGAAGGGCATTTTGAATTAGGCAATTCTCCCTTTCAAGTGAAATCTATTTCTAATCATATATCATGCTTTGTTTTATATCTTAAATTTAAAAGTAATGATTGGAAACCTGTTTGGGATAATGTTAATCTAATTCAAATGTTTCTAAATGTAGCACGTTTCCTTCTTGAAATTCAGGCCTTTTGGAGTTAGAAACACGTAATGTGTTTAAGGCGCAAGGCTCTTAGAAGTTTAAATGACTGCATTCTCATACAATCTCCACACAGACACATATCATGAATGGTTACTAATATGTTACCGTGAAAGACCGAAATTGGAGAATGTCGACTTTCACCGGAGAATATCAACATTCACCAAATACGTCGGTGAAAGACCGAATATTTCACTACATTCTTGTATATTCGGACTCTCACCAGTGTATGTCGACAATCACAGATATGCTCTGGTGAAAGTCGAAAAGAGAGGTCATAAAGTGCCATAATAGTTTAAGTTGTTGCAATAAATAAGATTTGAATGACATAAGTTGGTAAGTTTTTTATTACTGTTATTTTATTTTCTCATTTAGAACGTACTGTATAATTAAGTAAGTTTTTAACTTCTATTATTTTCCTTTCTCATTTTGAATGTATTGTGTGTATTAGGTTCTCGTGTTTTTAAGTTCTTATTTCAAGTCTCAAGTGCGTTTATTCGCGACTGAATTACGGAGAAGAAAATATAATATTGTTATATGTTCAACATTCACCATTAGTACATGGTGAATGTCGACATTGACCGGTATAAGTCAGAAATAAAATTATTTGGAAAATACTTCGGGCATACACCAAGAGACTATGTGAATGTTGACATTCACCGGTGAAAGTCGACATTCTTCAGATTTTGGTGTTTCACCGTAACAAATGTATTCTAATAAAACAATCTCTAGTGAGAAAAGTTAAAAACTTATAAATTACTTGCTAACTTTAAAAATATGTCATCCTTCTTTTGATACCTTGCCATGGAATCTGCAAGCTCTCTTTTTATTTATGGTCAAGTTATTGATTGAAATGGCAAATACGATTAGAAAGAAGAGTTTTTCAATTGAGATAGGTTATTGTCTGGTGATTTATCGCGTTCAGATAGTGATAACACTCTTGAATCTTAGAAATATGTGCTTTTCTATTGTTGGATGAGATTTAAAAGTTCAATTAAGAGAAAATTAAATTAATAAGTCAAGAAAATTTCAGCGTATTGAAACATTTGTTCGCGAAAGAAGTTTCATTCCTTTATATAATGCGAACAAACACTCATTGTAACGAACAAAAAGTGTATATGTACTATATGACGATAGAAGTATTGACAGCATAAATCTAGAAATACTACATTTCGTAGATTCTGAATCCGTAATGAACAGCAAGTTGGAATTACATTTTCGATAGCTTTGCAGTAAGAAGAGAGCAGCAAGCAGCAGTCCAGCTAGGCCGAAGTGTAGAAAGCAAGTTCAAGATGAAATCCTAATTTAGAAAGAGTTAGTTTCGGTTGTCAATGCATTTGACTGGATAATTAATACTGTCGTAATATTATTATTTAGCTATTGAGTTTAAGTTCTATTTACATCACCAGAGTTATATAAGATTCATATGATACGGATTAGTCTCGAAATGATTATTATTTTTAGAATAGATGAGGAAGTACAAAATTAAAACTAAACATTAAGTGGCTATTGCTAATTTAAATTGTTATTTATATTTATATATATTTTTATTATAATTTATATTACATATTTTATCTTACATATATATTCTATATATATATCTATATCTATATCTATACTTACCTCGGAAAACTTCACTTTCATTAATTAATTTGAATTATTGCGTAATAACTGATAAATCGTAAACTGATTTGTGGCAGAAATAATGAAGAATTTACTAGCACATAAATATTATACGGAATTGTTTTAGTATTAACGATGTGAAACATTTACTAGAAATACTCTCTTCTTTTATAAGTGCTTACTTGACTTGTGCTGTGCCTAACATAAAAGAATGATTTTAAATATTCACGACTTTGTGTTCTTAGATAATGTCTCCGGCAAGTTCGCCGATCTCATCAACAATACATCTAAATTTATTTTATGCGCCTATACGAATAAAGAATAAGCATTTCTGATGATTACAAAAAATGGTTTTAATTTAATGGTATGTTTCACATTAAGATATTTTCGAGTTCATGTTCATGTTGCAAAACACTTACATGTATAAAGTTAAGTTCTAAAAATTTTCGATCCGAAAGCTTTTTGGGAATTCTCCGCTTCCAACATTCTTGGAGCTTAACATGTCAAATACAAGGGAACTGGATTCGACTATATAGCAACGAAGCGAGGGCTATCTTCGTAAGAGAAGAAATACTTTCTTAGAAGATCATATATGCTCCCATGAGCATTACAAACAGGATACAACATTAGAATTCTCCTGCAACCAGTATGATAGCCAATATTTTAACTTGGATTGAACTACCAGTGTTCAACGTTTTTAATATTTGGCCGCTGTGTGGGCCGCGAATACGTGTAGAGCTCAAATGGAACTTAAGTTACGCTAAACAAAACTTAAATTGTTAAAATAATGAAAGTATCTTTTTCTACATACAGTACTTTGGATCTTTTTCTACATATAGTATTTTGCAACAAAGATTCAATCAAAAGAAGTTTCAGAATGTAATTGGAATTTTAATTGATTAATTTCTCTGATTTTACTGCCATCTTGCCTTTAAATCAATTGATGCTAACTTATAGTAACATGTCAACATGTAATAGTAACATGTTAGCTAAGGCGAAATTCAAATTTAGTTGCGTATCGATTTCAAATAAAAATTCTCAATACATTTCAGGAGAAAGACTATTTTAAGCTTGCAACTATTGGTACGCGTTTTTTCATTTCTTTTGATAGAGATTTTTCACTTGAAATTAGTATTTTTCATTTGAAATTTAATAAATTTGCATTATTCTTTCTAAAATGGGCTTAATATTTTACCACTTGTTTCATATCCACGTTCATTGTTTCAGTTCGCGCTGCCATTCTGTTAGGCAATCAGCCCTATATGCAGATTTTGTTTTACTAGTGTGTTTCTTTAATTCTATTAGAAAACGCTTAATGTAGTATTTCTTATTTCCAGGTCGGCACACAACTTTTAATCTCAGGTTATTTTCCGGAAGTTGTACATTTAATCTTCCAACATGGCCAATTTTGTTGAAAGAAGAGCATTCAACCTTATGGGAATCTTCGATGGACTTGGCGAGTACTTGAATACCGGTGGTAAGTGAATTTTACTATTTAGGATATAAAGAAATAAAGAGAAATGTTAACCTCTTTTAGAATCCTACATTTTCAAGCTATTGTGACAAAACCTGTAAGTTAAATGCATTAATCTAATAATCATTTGTAATCGGTCTTCAGTTTACAAATGCTTTCAGAATAACAGCACACATTATTGATATGAATAACATATTTTTTTCTATTGTAAAACTTACAGAAAAGGCTATTTCCTCTGCATGAGTCTGTGATAAAACTAACAGTAAGCATCAAATAATATCTATCTATCTAAATAATCCAACGGGAAGCAAATAAACGTACAATTTTAAATGATTTTTTAAAGAAAACTAACTTGTAAAATGATATTATCACTGATTTTCAGTCAGTGATAAAAATGTGAGTTCAGTCAGTGAGCCATATCACTGATTTTTTTCCTTTTGATTGTGCTGTTTCGTGCAGATTTCCGCGTTTTGTTAACTTTTTATCCATCGTATCAGTAGCAAGGCCAAACTTAGCAGAGCTTGGACATTCCGTGAGCATATATGGATATCGATTGTAAACAAATTTATTTATCATTTGACATTATGTTTTGCTGTTTGGGCAATAAGGTACAATTTGTTAAATCTGTGAAAATTAAGTTTTTTTTAGCAGAACTATCTTCTGTTATATTTCCTAAAATTAAGGCAGTGGATCATCAGCAAAGATTTTTGAGAATTGCAGAAGGAAAAAAAAAAAAAGACTTAATGCAATTTTTTTATTTCTTGCAATTGTAATGGTTTAATTTACTTTACCGATTTAAATCACTTAACAAGCAGCTATCTAAATATCTTAAAATTTCATTATTTTACTAATTAATTTAGTTAACTGTTACCAATGTTGTTAGAAAGAAGCATTCTTCAAACGAAGATTGGTTATTGTCTGGTGGTTTAGCGAATTCTGATGCTGATAACAGTTATGAATCTGGAGAAGTAGATGCTTTCTCTAATGTTGGACAAGGTTAAAAAGTTCGACGAATAGAAAATTAAGTTAAGGTAATAAAGATGATTTAAATAAAGTTCTTTCAACAACGAATTCTCTTGATCCTGCAATTCAGTTCACATTTGAACTTGAGACTTGCAATTCTCTTCCATTTTTCGACATTCTGGTCACACGTAACACATCCAACTTCAGTACTTCGGTTTACCGTAAACCTGATCATCGGTTTCCACGACACTTTAAATCATGTCATCCGACTAAACAAAAGTTAGCTTCATTTTATTCCTATGTTTTCCGTGCTCTTCAAATTTGCTCCTCCAAACTATCCCTTAATGAAGAACTAAATTATTTAAAAGCAATAGCTATTGACAGGGGCTTTTCACCCAACGTTATTAAGTAAGCAGTTAAAAAATTCTCATCTCAACACACTAAAAGGCACACTCTTGTTTTAGGAGATTATTATTCGTTCTCTCATCAATAAAATTCCGAGTTCCATACTCAAGGACCCCATTCCGGATATGAATTCCTGGGGTATTTACAGGATTCCTTGCCAATGTGGTTTAATTTACATTGGTCAAACTAAGGGAGCCTTAAAATTTCGCGTTAAGGAACATGAGGCATATATTAGAAAAAAAGAAACACTTCTGTTGCCCAACATTGTTGGTCCGAAAATCACACATTCAATTTTTCTGCTGCCAAAATTATTCAAAAAATATCTTCCATTGGTGAACTAAATTTTCTAGAGGCATTTCACGTTCAAAAAAATCTTTCTGTTCTAGTTAACGACCCTAATTCCAATCCATCTTTGCCTTCAGCCTTTAAAGAAATTATGTTTTAGTTCTGCTTTCATCAACAGATGGCGACAGTAGCTTATCTCCTGTCCAGGCTTTCTTATCTTATCTAATCATTATATCCTATCTCCTTCATTTGCGCTTTTGGTGGTGGTTCGGTAAAACCACCGAAACTAGTCCTGTGAAAATTTTAAAACATAACGCTGATTTTTGTTGTTTGAATTCTGAATTAGTATTTATTTGGTGTGTTATTGTGTCTTAACTAAGTTAAGGACTAAACTTTCTCTTATCTCTAGTGCGTATCGGAGCACTTGTTCGTGAAAGAAATTTCCTTCTTTTATATATATATGTGTGTGTGTGTGTGTAAGATGTAACAAACTACGATAGCTGTTTAAAAAAAATAATTGGCTACCTCAAAATTAACGATTCTAGATTTGGAGATCTCCCACTAAATTCCTCTGTTTTCCTAAATTCGAGATTTTTCTATGTTATGTAATGCTACTGGAAAAGGGCAACTAAAACTAATATTAACCAATCATAGCTTGTTTCTAGAATCGCACTTACTTTTGTATAAATACCTCTGGAGAGCTAACTACGTCATTATTCTGCTAGCTTCTACATTGCTAATATCTTCCCGCTTCGCTTCTTTAAAGTACCTGCGTCATTCTTTTTAAAAAACCAATGTGTATAATAAATTATCGTAATTGTATGATTAAAGAGTGTGTTGTCTAAGAGGAATAATTAGAACTTGCTTTAAAATCATTACATATATATTGTTACGAAACACCCTGCTGCGGTAAGATAGCTTCCCCGCAAAGCGGGTTTAGAGTTGCTGGAAAGTGACAAGGAAACGCAGGGCTGCCATATTTGGCGCGAAATTGGCCATTTGGAGACATCTGGAGAAAAAATACGCGATGTGCATAGACGGATCGAGAATATTCTAGAATTAATTTTTTCCGGTCTTTCCGCGAATGTTCTCGAAGGCAGAACAAAAGCTATAAATACCCTGCACGCGGAGTCGTAGTTTTCCGTGGAGAGTATCTTAGAGAGCATGTTGACTTGTTCTGTCGATGGCGACAAGAAAGAAAGTAGTGTCTTCAGTTCAGAGATTAACTCGAGAGTGATCGACCGTGTCGGAAGCTGTACTTTAGTGCCTTGCCGTGAAGCTGTCTTCACCGTTACAGCCTGATAGCCTGAAGGCTGTGTTGCTGATTGTTTCAGCGTTTTTATCGTAGTTTTTTGACGGCTATAAACGTGTCTTTGAAACTCTCCTCTGCAATACTGACGAATAAATTGTGTTTTGATTCTTCAGCTAATGCTGTCATCAATCAATCCAAATCCACGAACTCGTAGAACACAACAATATATTTAGCAATGTTGATGGCGTAGAAAGTTGATCCACAATGAGCAACTTGGCAGCGACGACAAATTAATTATTTATCCTTATTTTATTTTAAAAACATGCTGCGAACACAAACAACTTGGTACACTACATGTGCATATATCAAATCAAAATTTTTACATGTTTTTAATAGCTCTATAGTATAAGGAGATGAGCAGGCAGGAATCCGGCTAGGCAAACGTCTAGAGAGAAAGTAACATGTGTTCAGAATGAAATCTTAATTCAGAATGAGTTAGTTTCTGTTCTTAGTGCATTTAGTTTCATTTACCGTGCATTAGTTCACAGTTGCAATGCTTTAGTTTACAGTGTTTTCAGGGTTTTAGTTCCATTTACATTACCAGCGTTATGTAGGAGTCCTAAGACATAGATTAGTCTCGAAATGACGCAGCGCAGAAAACGATTACTATTTTTACTATTTTTAGAATAGAGGCACTATACCAAGTTAAAATTAAGCATCAAGGGGCTATTGTAAATTTAAATTATAATTTATCTTTACATATTTTTCTTTTATTTTTCTTACATCTGTCTACCTATCTATAAATCTATATATATACTTTTACGAGATGTATATATAGATATAATGCGTAAATGGAAAGCACTGCAGTTTCATTATTTAGATTGCAATTAGCGGGCTATGGCTAAGGTTCCCACCTCTCCCGGAATTGAGTCCTGAAAATTAACAACTCCGGGCTCCCGGAAGGAATTTAAAATAAATATTACTCTCCCGGAATATCAAGTTTCTCGAAACTAACGACACAATGTTCACGGAAGAATTGGTTGAGAGCATCGAAAATCACACGACCGCGCACAGCACCCAAAGAACGTCTATGTCGATACATATTCTTTACAGCAGCGACCTACGGTGAGCGGTGAGTAAGCGCCTTACGGGATGAATCGTGGTTTTATGCCGGCGTGTCGAGCGCATGCGCACTCATCTCCCCTCATCCTCATTTAGTCCGCAGTTAGCTAGCTATCTACAAACAAGTGCGTATTTTGAAATTATTGAAATGCTTTCATAAAAAAAAAAAAAAAAAAAAAAAAAAGACAAAATATTCGACGTCCTTTCAAGACAAGTGGTTAACTGAATTTGATTAGCTTATGAAGAGAGACAACTTTCACGGAGAATGTAAAGTATGTCGCAAAATGGTTAATATTAAGTACGAGGATGTTAGAGCTTTAACTGTTCATTCCCAAAGCAAGAAACACCACCCGTTAAGGGGACTCATACACCTTAAAACCCATTAGATCTTCGAATAGGTGATTGTTGCAAGAATTGGGATAACTTATTTATTTTAAAAGCGATTACTTCCAACTTTTTACAGCTCACTGCATAATATACCTGCTTTCTGAAATAGTCATCAGAAATTTTGTGTTGCCACAAATATTTTTAGAATTTAATCCGCTTTGTGACAACATTTTTCGTCATGTTTCACCTTGCGCGCACAGTTTAAGACATTCTGTTGCATAATTTAATTCCATATTTAAAATATAGCTTTTATAACATTTGAAAACGACTGTGAACCTAAAATTCTAAAAATTTCATGTTAAATTTTTATTTTATTTGGAGTTGAGTTTATAAAATGTATTTTATTAAAAAAAATTGTAATGTTTTCGTCCATAAAATTTTTTAATATTAAAATATTTATCATATTTTTAGTTCAGTTAGAAAATAGTGCCCATATAAAGAATTCCATCAAATTTCAAGTATGTACCTTTAGCCATTTTTAAAATATCGTGCGCGCAAGGTGGAAACATGGCGAAATATTTTGTCACAAAGAGGATTAAATTACAAAAATATTTGTGGCAACACAAACTTTCTGGTTACTAGTTTCTAA